TTTCCTGGGTGCCCTTTTCCCACGTGAAGGTGAGAAAGTGTTGGCCATCATCAATCCTCAGATTCATCTTCCTGACCTAGTCGCCAAATAGTCATCCCATGCTTTTAAAACTGCTTTTGTTTTCTATCAAGGTTTTTTTTTTAAGCTGCTGGTTCATTCCCAACAGTGAATTGCTCCCTTTAAGATGTACTTGGAAACTTTTCTTCTGCTTTCCTTCCCCCACATTCTTCCTGGTGGCCATTAATAATAATAATAAAAAGCTTTTTGCCTTGAAAGAGCAGAACAACCATACATGCCATCTCTTCAGAAAGCCGTGGCTGCAGTTTGCTCAGAGGAGCTGTCAAGCAGCCTCCGTTCATTTCGGTGGAGCTTGTGCAAGGTTTCATGCATACAGCCTGTTAGAATGAACAGACGTTGCTTCAGCAAAGCCCCTTGAACAGATGGAGCCTGACTCTGCATTTCAAACAGCAAAAAGTCCAGTCGACAAGGAAAGGTTGTGTCTGTGTTCCTTTAAGTTTTTCTGTATTCTGCTTCTTTGCTGCTATATACGATTCCTTGAGCTTCTATTTTAAACTTTTCATGCACTTTACTGTTTCTAGTCTCAAAATGTGATATTTTTAATAAATGAGAATTTTTTTCCATTATGTGAATGAAAATTTTTAAAGAGCTTATATCTGCCTCATTCATACGCTTAAAAAGGAAGAATTAAAAAACAAAAGCGAAACAGCTGAATCGGTTTGCTGCACAAAACATATACCTTAAGTTAATTTCTTCCCACCTACCCACACTCACTTTGCTAGCTATGTATTAGAATGGCAAAGGAAATTTGGAATCGGGCTAAAGAAGGAAATGCTGCCTCATTTTTGTGCATGACTATGGGGTGTAGAGGAAGGAGTTGCTTTGGCGACAACCACAATTTGCTCTCGGAAGTGCCTACAGCCGACAGTTCCTCAGCGATTGGAATTGGTTGTATTTATGTGAAACTTTCAGGATGGAACTACATTAGGCAACAAATGCAGGGCGGCGGCCGCTCAAAAGGGCAGCCTTGGGTTGAATTTTCCCTCTGTGTACTTGCCAACCTTTCACATCACATCATTGGTTCCCTCCGCCAAGTGGCAATGGGGAAACACCAGACATCTTGGCAGCAGCAAAGAAGGTAGATTGTATTGGATATGGAAGGGATTTGACACGGAGCTGCTCCTTTTTTTTTTTTTCTTTTTGACAGCCGTCCTGTGTTTCTTACAACATGTAGCTCCATCCAATGTGTAGAACAGCTTATAAAGCACGACAAAGTTATCTCCTTTTCAGAGAGAACATTTCCCCCTCCCCAATATTGGTGCAGGTATCTCTTCTTATATACCTCAAAAGTGTTACTTACACGGCCGTGTATATATGAATTGATAACTCAAATAAAATATAGTACTGGAAAGTAGAATAGCATGAAAAACTTAATTTGGTGGACATTAGCCTTTTCAGTTCTTTTTATTTTTATTTTTGTAAGGACCCAATCCGCTGAGAAGTCGTCCTGCTCCAGCCCCACTGAAATGTGCAAGAGCTGCCCAACTCCCTGTTCCTTTCAGTGGGGCTTGCGCAAAAGACTTCCCTCCTGGAATGTGTTCCAAGTCATCTGCTGTATCTTCACTTGGGAGGTATGCACTAACCATTTTCCTCCTTTTCATATGTGCATGTTAACTAGCAATGTGAGCAGTATTTCCTACCATACTTCACTCCCAACTATTTTTTTTGAGATGTTTGTATAAAATGGAGTTTTAAAAAAAAATATCGCCTGTGATTGTATATGAACTGCAGAGGAGCCGGTTTATTAAATAATTATTATTATTATTATTAATAAAAACCCACCAATCTTTTGTAATGCTGTTGGGAGGTTGGGGGTGGGGAATAAAATAAAAACATTGGGAAACATTGCAAACAGTTTAAGTTCCTCTTTTTGTTTAGTTGTAATTAGCCGATGCAGTCGGGGGTTGAGATGGCTTTCCTCTGCTTCAAAGCTGACTTGTATCTTAACCTGTGTAACTATCTTGGTTTTTCTCTGCGTCTTTAAAAAAAAACAACCACCTGTTTGAAATGTTGCACAATTCTTTTCTTTAAGCAGTTGTTGTTTCGTTGGCCATAGAAGCGCCAGGAGGAGGTTTCCGTTGCTGGAAGGACTTTGTGCCTTAAAGTTTTCCACATACCAAAGTGTTGGTTTAAAAGCAGGGACTGGAAATATTTGTTCAGAACAAGGGCTGAATTTTCTTCTGGGGCCACATACCAATGCTGGGTGGATCCAGAGGCAAAAAGAAGGTGGACAGTGAATGTAATCTTACGTTTGTACAGTCAACCAGTTGCTACACACACACACACACACACACACACACACACACACACCATTCAGGGAAGCAAGAGAAATTAACAGCGTTCGATTGCAAGAGGCGTTCCAATCAGGAAGGAACACTCAAAGACTGTGCAAAGTAGGGCTGTGTGTGTGTGTGTGTGTGTGTGTGTGTGTGTGTGTGTGTGTGGCTGAGGATACTAGCAAGACAGAACCTCTTCTTTCCAGGCACTCTCCCCATTTGAAGAGACAAGTTCATTAAATCAGGGCTGTTTCTATGGGGACAGCTGGATGCACTGGGCATGTCCACCTAGTCTTAATGAGAATAAGCATTTCCCCCCCTATTTTCAGAAGGAAATATTGCATTGCACGTGCTCAGTTAATCATAAACACTGCTGTCAGTATGCTGAGATGTAGAAGCTGGTTCATGTTATAGTGTTTCCTCCACAGAAGCCCCTAAAAGGGCTACTGTGACCCTACGTTGGAGTGGAACCTGGAAAGGACGTTGCAGTTGAACAAATCGCAATGGTTATGTGTGTAAAAACCCCAAGTGTCGGAAGTCCCACTTGTCACGCACAGCAGCAGCTCCATGTGTCCTAAGGCATTGCTGGGAACTAATAAAATGTATACAGGTGTCTCCCCATTGACACACATGTGCGTGGTGCCAGGAAATAAATAAATCAGTTTAAACCGCAGAAAGGCAAAAAAAGAACAGAAAACTGCAAAAAGAGAGGGGAAATGACTAGCAACACAAATGCCATTGTACCGTCCTTAAGAGTCCTGTGGATGGTTGGCGTTTGAGAAAGGCGGTTTGGAGGGAGCGATTGTGGTGGACTTTTGGCTTTTCAGATGGTGTTCCCCACTATACACAATTTCACGGTACCCAGGAATGTAGGCCCTGTGTAAGTGGAGAGACGCTTGTATACCGTTAAGTTGGCACACAGTATGTTTTCAGAAGAAAAGTTGATCATTGAATTTATTGTGAGCCCCCAAAAAACTTTTTTAACAGGCAGAACTGTGAAAAAAGTAACCCACCCACCTACCTGGAGTTCTACTAGTGTGGATTGTAGGCAGATAGGCAGTCTCTGGGATGATCCATTAATGGCTCTGGGAAAAGGTATTGCTCATTGCCTATTGCTGACTTTTTGAGGTAAAAATGGCTTGCTTCTCTGTTTTCCATTCTGATTAAACAAAGCATAGGAAGAAGGCTGGTATTGTAATCCACTTTCCCGTCAACAGACTTGAAAGGTTTTTTTCCTTATCTACAAACAGGATCGTCAACAAAGAATTTAATTCCTCTTTATCAATAAGCATATTGTGTGAGAAGAAGAAATTCATTCTGTCAGAAATCCCCAGTACTACTTAAATCCACACCCTGTTCAACATTACATTTTTAGGTAGAACTAGCCATACACCTCGCTGAACCTGAGAGATCTGTGTTCATGATGCAAACTACGGATTACCACTGGTCAGAGACGAAGCAGGGAGGGTTCGCATTCTGCTTAGGCTGCCCTGGTGTGCATCTTTAATGCATCAGTATTATGTATTTGACTCTGAATACATCTTAACACTTAAGAAGGGGGAAATCAAACTTGGAACACATCTGCATGCATGTGTGCAAGCTTCTGAGCTCTTGCTTTGGTAAAATGGGACTGGACAATTTAACTGAAAATAAGCCTGAATGGCTATCAGGCATCATGTCCTTTATTCGTCCTTCTTGCGTATATATTTCAGCTACACCACGCTAGAGTTTTATTGCATTTGGTTCAGAGCTTTCCAGGTATAGCTGGGTGGCACCTCTTTGAAACCGAAGGCAGGACTTCTGCATTCTGTGTGACCCACCAAAACGTCGTGTTCTTACAATACCATTGACACTTGTATTAGCAGATAGGAATTCATTCCCAACACACACAGCAAGGACCACTGGCACAGATACGGCTTCAGAAGAGGATAACGTGAATGGAGGACTGTCAGTGGAATAAGAATAAGGCTATCAATGACTACTAGCCACAATTGCTATGTTCTGCCTGCACTATTGGGGCTAGGTTGTGTCTGAATGTCAGGGAGGGAGAGGGTTCTGTTGCATTCATGTCCTGCTTTTGGACTTCTCGTGGTCTTCAGTCATCAGCCACTGCAAGAATTGGATGCTGGACTAGATGGGCCTTTGCCTGATCCAGCAGGATCTTACGTTCCTATTAGGGCAAGAGTTTGGAAACTTTTTAGATAGAAGACAGCCCTGCAAAGAAGACAACAGTGCCTGGATGTGAGCAGGACTTGGGGCTCAGATTTGGAATTTGTGCTAGACCAGTGTTTCCCAAACTTGGGTCTCCAGTTGCTTTAGGACTACAACTCCCATCATCCCTAGATAGCAAGACCAGTGGTCTGGGATGATGGGAATTGTAGTCCAAAAGCAGCTGGAGACCCAAGTTCAGGAAACCCCGGTCTAGACTCATGAGTAATGGAAGCTTCTTTAACTAGAAGAGGAGCTCTCCTTCCTTTTGCAATGTAACATCGCCCAATTATCCAAGCTATTTGGCACATTTTGAATAACATCTCTGCTGATAATGTAGAAATTGCACAGTAGCCGTTCAGTATAATTGTTTAATGGCTGCTAGAAGCATTCGTCTTTCTTAATGCTTAATTTGCATTCTTTGTGCTTTATTCCAAATGAGCCAAAGCAGTCACTGATGTCCACCGTTCAACCATCTCAGAAGGGCACAGTGGTTTTAAAGTGTGGTTTTGAATATATATATATATAATTACAAGATAGAAAGCATGACAACAGGGCAGCACTGCATCACTGTTTCTTCGGGCTCCTTGTGCATTTTTCCACCTTCAGGAAGACTCCCATTTGCGGTCACTGGCTGCTATATGTTGAAATTAGTAAAAGAGAAACTGGTTAAATTCCATTACTTAAGCCATGACGGTCACAGATGTTCTTTGGGGTAAGGATGGCACATTCATAAGTGGCCCCCATCAGAAGCGATAAGGAACAAGTGTAGTGCCCTGGCTTGTTGTGGAGGGATTTGGGCACCCTTCACCCCCCAAAAGTAAAAATAATACCTCTGAGTGTTCAAATTAAGCTACTTTATAATCCTTACACAACCCAGCAAGGTAAGCTAGTATTGTTCCCATATTGCAGACAGAGAGCAGAGATTCCTTGCCCTAAGGTCAGCAAGTGACGGTTGCATACTTAAACCATACATTTAAAGGACATGACTTCCACCTTGGGAACCGCAGTTTGTTGAAATTGTAGCTCTGTCAGGGGTAAGCTGCAATTTCCAGGAATCTTTGGGAGAAGTCATGTGACTTCCTTAAGGTGTGTAAGGCTTTAAAAGTGAGATCATGGTAGATGGAACTGCAGACTTCCTCATTCATGGCACAGTCCCTTTGCTGTTAGTGTTCAGGCTAAACTGGACATATAGGAAAATCAATTGGAACCTTTTAAAAAAAAACACCACCCTACAACCTGCTTCTAGAATGAAAAGTAGCACCTGGAGAGGAACCGTTTTCAGAAGAGAAGCAGGAGGAGGGAGGAGGGACTTGACCCTTTCCCGTAAACCACGTTCCTGCTGCAACCCTCCTCGACTGCTTTCTCCCAGCAGAATTCCAGGTGTATGCTGAGCTTCAACCCCATGGGAATGGTGCGTAGAAGCTGAAAAAGCAGGATGTTGGGTTAAGCATCCCTCGCTGCAGCTCCTTTGAAAGGCACCTCCTCCTACTGCTTTTCAGCAGAAAACCATGCATGAATTATCTCGGGGATTCATGCCATCTACACAGGGATTTTGTGTTCTCTGGGACAGGGGACATAAAAGAATGCTTGGTTTTTCATATTTTTCCTATGATTCAGGTGACCTGGACTATTCAGCAATAACACGCAGTCATATTTTAAGGGACAGGTGTGAAAGGTCCCCATTTCTGGAATTTTTTGGTCATCGGGGTGCCTTGGACGATGTGTGTGCCAAGGGTTAGTTTTCCTGGTTATACACTGAGAGTTTGGGCTGCTTGGCTTGCATTTACCCATGTAGCAAATTTCAGACTTAACTTCTGCATGAAAGATGAAGGGAAGAGCTTCAGCTCAGTGGTAGAGCATGCAAATATCCCTGGATAAAGCCTCTGGCATTTATAGGTGGGGCTGAGAAAGACTTGGGTCTGAAACCCTGGAGAATCGCTGCAAGTTCTTCTAGATCAGTGTTTCCCAAGCTTGAGTTTCCAGCTCTTTTGGGGTTACAACTCCCACCATCCCTAGCTAGCAATTGTAGTCTGTTCTAGATTATGGTTACCAGATTTTTTTCAATGAATCTGGGGGCAACTTTTTTTTTTAAGCTGGGTAGCAACAGGGAGTCAGTAGTGGGGATGGAGAGGCAAAAGACCCTGGGCCCAAACACATATGCATATTGTATAAAGGTGCAAAGCCCTTCTTTCGCACCCTGTGAAACATAAATGCGCAGAGTTTTTTTAAAAAAAAACTTTGAGACAGCGCATCATGTGCCCGTGACTCCGGAGCCTTCCCTGATCTCCTTCCCCCTTTGTTTTGACAGATTGGGGGAGGCTCAGGAATCACGGGCGGGCGGCCATTGCCCAGGAGGGGCCAGCCTAGTAGCACAGTTGGCTGGGGCTGGCTTCAGGAGCTGCTCGCTGCTCACTGCTGCGGCACAGGAAAATGGCAGGCGCCACGGCAGCGGGCAGCTCCTGAAGCCAGCCCCAGCCAACTGCACTACTAGGCTGGCTCTGGGCTGCTGAGGCTGCCGCATTTCCTGGGGACAGATTTGCAAATCTGGGGACGGAATTTGTCCGGGGACAGATTTGCATATCCAGGGACTGTCCCCAGGAACCGGGGACGTCTGGTAACCCTATTCTAGATGATACTAAGCTAGATTTGTGAATGCCCTGACTTGGTACAGGGCTGGTTCTTGCACCAGTGAGCAGCTTGATTAAGCATATAATATCTACATTGGCTGGATGCAGGTGAGAACAATATTAGGACCACTGCTATTTGCGTGTTGCTGGAGTTTTTTCTTGACTATCAAAGAAAACTCCGCATTCTGCTCAATCAGGAGGCCCTCATATTGGGGCTTGGGAGCACTTCCGCAAATCTGTTGCAGGCAACATATAACACCTGTTTTGCAGAAGGAAAACTGGCACAGCTCAGAACCCTCCCCGTAAAAAGAGCAGAATACCTACAATCTCCCCCCAAACAAGCAAACTTCATGCAGAAAGTCAAGCAAGCCCTTCTGCCAAGCAGCTAAACAAACACCCTTAAAAAATAAAAAATGGAGGGTCTGAGGGCCTTGGTCACCCAGGGAGCCCCAGCTGTAACTGAATAAGCAAAATCGTACCTCTTTATCAGCCTCTTCAGCAATTTCTGCACCCACTGGGCAGTAGGTGCCACACAGACCTGCCATTTGCTTTTCAGGGTTAATCTGAAACGTAAGGATGAGGTCATTATTAGCGCTCTTCCTCACCCTCTTCAAAATGGTAGGATGTGGGCGTGCTGGCTTCACTTACATTATTTCTGTCCTCCCGCACTGTATTCCTTTGGGAATGACTTGAATGGATTGGATCTGTTTCGGGCCAAAGGCCGTGGAGGTGTGCTTCTGGCATTTGCAACTTCCCATGTGGACTAGGTGACCCTCCATAGCAAGACCTTTGTAAAAAAACACCATGTGAAATGCTCAGAATCCGGCACGCATAATGCTAATTTCATTCCGTGTTTATGCTTCCTTTACTACAAAGAGTTTCGGGTGACATGGGAGGCCCCCCTGCATTGATCCTCCCAGTAGCCCTGCGAAGTAACTTAGGCTGAGATATACTTAACAGATAGAGCAGGTCTCTGTGAGCTTCATTGCTGAGCAAGGGTTGAGCCCAGATTCCCCCAGTCCTAGCAAGGGGTGGACTTGTAGGGCAGAAGGTAAGGGACCCAACGTTAGGTGCAGCCAGAGTCAAACTAACTCTAGCTTTGTCCCCATCCTCCCTGCTGAGTTTGACAAGAGCAGCGGATAGTAAGGAAGAAGGAGGCTGATAGGCAGTACAGTGGTATCTCAGGTTAAGTACTTAATTTGTTCCAGAGGACCGTACTTAACCTGAATCTGTTCTTAACCTGAAGCATCACTTTAGCTAATGGGGCCTCCTGCTGCCGCTGCGCCACCGGAGCACGATTTCTGTTCTCATCCTGAAGCAAAGTTCTTAACCCGAGGTACTATTTCTGGGTTAGCGGAGTCTGTAACCTGAAGCGTATGTAACCCGAGGTACCACTGTACTACCCCCCTGGACCATGATTATAAGAAAGAGGTCAGGCAAGTGGCAGGGGCATACGAAGGGGGGCGGAGGGGGCAGGTCACACCGGGTACCACTCTGGGGGGGGTGACAAGATGCCCTGCTGCGTCCCCCCAGCTGTAGAGTGGCCAAGGGTGCGTGTGTGCACAGTTAGTATGGGCGCTGCTTGCGCGGCATCCGTACGGGTTGCTGCTCGTGTGTGCCGTCCTCCATATGAGCATCCATATTTGCTGCTGTGTGTGCACAGTCCATATGGATGTCGTGTGCGCACTGCCGGGCAGTTCGCCCAGCCCAGCCCTGCCCGCCCTCGGCATCTCGCCCCAGGTGCCAGAGGGTTCCTCTGCCACTGACAAGTGGAATTGACAGGTTGGTGGGAGAGGGCCCTATTCACTAACGGAGCGGCCTCCACTGGTCATAGCCCAATGCTCTTAGCAAATTATGATTGTAAGGGCGTATATGGTGGACAGAGGTCCTTAATTGGCAAGAAAGAGATGCGCCGTTTTGCCTTACGTCCCAGCCCAATCCCTAAAGCAATTTGCAGAGCTCCTGCCTGTCCCATGCTGGTTCTGCAAGCAAGGGCAGACATATTTGGCTAGCTGAATAAATGACTGGCAGTGCTCAGAACCCTAAAAACAGCAAAAGACCTGCAGATGTTTTGCGTGTGAGCTGGAGGGACGCTGCAGCTTGCACAGCCGATGCACAGGGAAGCAGAGGCTGCTGCGCTACCCTGCAAGTCAGCTGTTAGTCAGAGAGGCCTCAGCAAAGCCCCACTGTGCCTCCAGCTTGCAAGGACACCCTCCCCAGAGCCTGATGCGGATTTCCTTTTCAGGCTCCAGAGAGGGTCTCCTTGTGAGCCAGGAGGACTCTCCAGGATGCTCCCAATATACGCAGTTTCAGTTACATCTGTGAAGGCATGGAGCGTAACCCCCACATAAATTGGGAGTTGCCTGTACCATAAGCCTGTTGTGCAATGGGATAAACGCCCGTCCTTTTCATACAGGAGCATGTACCCTAAACCCATTGAGTCCTTGCTGGGCTTTCCTCTTCATGCACTTAAAGGTAAAGGGACCCCGACTATTAGGTCCAGTCGTGGCCGACTCTGGGGTTGCGGTGCTCATCTCACTTTATTGGCCGAGGGAGCTGGCATACAGCTCATGTGGCCAGCATGACTAAGCCGCTTCTGGCGAACCAGAGCAGCGCACGGAAATGCCGTTTACCTTCCGACTGGAGTGGTACCTATTTATCTACTTTGACGTGCTTTCAAATTGCTAGGTTGGCAAGAACAGGGACCAAGCAACGGAAGCTCACCCTTTCGTGGGGATTCGAACTGCCGACCTTCTGATCGGCAAGTCCTAGGCTCTGTGGTTTAACCCACAGCGCCACCCACGTCCCTCTTCATGCACTTACAAGGGAATAAATGGGGGAGTGGGGTTGCGCTTCTTGGCCTCATCTTGACCCTTCTGGTGCCTCCAGCATGTGCCTCCAGCATGGTGCAAGGGTAACGTTTTGCAGCAGGAAGCCTGCTGTAAGCCTATGGACTTCAGAGCACGAGAGAGGCAGACACCTCAGGCTACAAGGGTGCATCTGATGCAGCGGAGGCAGGAAGCGCAGCCCTGCTCTTCCCCCTTGTGCAATTGAAATCGCATGAGGGAATCACCCAAAAGGGGCTGTGGAAAGAGGAAGGATTCCACCTGCCCCCCCCAACCTTTGAAACTTTCGCTTGACCCATATTTTGATTGTTTTGTGTACCGATTCATTTTCCCAAGTCCCAGAGCTTTTATGTTGTTCTGCAGCTGTACCTTGCGAAATCCGATCTTACCTGCCAAATCAGATCTTACCAGGAGCACAGAAAATCCAAAGAGAGGTTTTGCTTAAAAAACGAGCTTCAGTTCAGCGGGTAAGATCTGATTTTTGAGAGGCACGGCTGCAGAAAAATGAGAAAAGCCCTCAGACCCAGGGGAATTAAACAATACCCGACACGATCAAAATACGGGTCAAGCAAAAATGTGAATAAGCCCTAAGAAGATACAGCTAGGTGCATTGCAATTCTTTTTTATTGCTGAATGACAAATTATGAAAGAAAGAAAAGAAAGAAAGAAAGAAAGAAAGAAAGAAAGAGAAAATATACATACGTTAATGTTACATGAGTTATTTATGCTTCTAATAATACCAATAATAATACCACAATAGTAATGGGACAGTCAACTAAGTATTGACCAGCTTAAATATAAATGTAATGACTTTACACAAACACACACAAGTTCATATCTTGCTTTTCTATCTTATTTAAGATGAAAGAATAAAATGTGAAGTCTTCTGTATAATGACGTGAAATTCCATTGTATTTCTATAGGTCTCCAAACAGCAAATTCAGATTTATTTGTTCTTCCCCAGCTACATTTGCGAACAGAATTCTCTTTGATTTTGCCTTCCTTCCTTTTCTCAATTTGTGGGTTTATTCATACATGCCATTTGGCAGACTCTGGTGACCTAGGAATTTACTGCCAAGAGGAAGAGGTTTCTCCAGGTTCTGCAAATTTCATCCCCAACCTCTCTGCATTTAATCAAAGGTCAGCGCAAACAGTTGAGTGTATTTCAGCTCTGCATCATGTACAGTAGAAAACTCTGTTATTTGTGGAGTGTTTGGTCATGTGGGGAGAGCCTGTGCACTTGCCACTGACACATGTATAGATTCTGTTTCTACCTTCCGCTGAAGTTGGTGAGAGTTGTGAGCAAACGTAATGGGTGTGATCACAATTTTCATTCAGCCACCACCACCACCCAGCTTTGCAGTCACTGAATATGCGAAAATGAATTTTGCAAACAATAACGCAACATGTTTGAGACCCGAGAGATGCGAAGCCTGCTTTGCAAGGACAGGGTATTTGTGGATTTATCTCAGTTAGGGATGGGTGAATTTGCCAGTTTCAGTCTTTCTCAGTTTCTCCTTTTTTCTGCCTTAAATTCAGTTCTCCCCATTTCCACATCGGTTTGCAATTTGTAAAAAAGTCATCATGAAAATTCACCATCATTTTAGTACATACCGTATTTTTCGCTCTATAAGACGCACCAGACCACAAGACGCACCTTGTTTTTGGAGGAGGAAAACAAGAAAAAAAATATTCTGAATCTCAGAAGCCAGAACAGCAAGAGGGATCGCTGCGCAGCGAAAGCAGCAATCCCTCTTGCTGTTCTGGCTTCTGGGATAGCTGCGCAGCCTGCATTCGCTCCATAAAACGCACACACATTTCCCCTTACTTTTTAGGAGGGAAAAAGTGAGTCTTATAGAGCAAAAAATACGGTATTTCTCCTGGTGCATTTTAATGCAATTCTGCCAAATATACACATCTTTGCCTAATAATTTTTGCATCCCTAATATACATTTTTAGGCACACCTGCGGTACATGCATTTTGGTACACATTACTTGGCTGGAGAATTGCACTGCAAGATTCATACAAGTTCAAATTATGAAGGAAAGCTGATTTTTGGTTCTCACATTAATCCAGCAAGTGCTAATTAGGTAGGTTTGCCTTTAAATGCAAACAGGATCAAATTTCTCCCCTATCTCTAATCTTAGTACTGTCTGTTCTGACTACACACAAGCCCAAGGTCTCTGGCTGAATCCTTTCCTCAGCTGCCTGATCCCTTTGAACGCCAGGGATGGAAGCGGAGACCTTCCACATAAAAACATGTGCTCTACCGCTGAGCTCTGCTACCTCCCCCTGGTGCACATCATTTCAAACAAAAAGCCATCAAATAAAGTTCACAACGCAAGCAATAAGTTTGCAAACATAGTTTGCTGCACAAAAGGAGGTACCCGAAAACTCTCTATCAAGCCGACCGTGACTGTTTATTTCTTTTACATTTCAATCCCACCTTTTCTCCCAGCTGCTCAAGGTGGCACAGATGGTTCTCTTGCTCCCCATTCCAGCCTCACAACAACCCTGTGAGGCAGGTTAGGCTGAGTGTGTGTGTGTGTGTGTGTGTGTGTGTGTGTGAGAGAGAGAGAGAGAGAGAGAGAGAGAGATGGGTTCAAGGTCACCCGACAAACTCTGTGGTCGAGTGCAGATCAGAACCCTGGTATCCCAGGTCCTACCAGGACACTGTGTCCACTACCACTGAACTGACTCTTTTACATTACAGTGGTACCTCGGGTTACATACGCTTCAGGTTACAGACTCCGCTAACCCAGAAGTAGTACCTCGGGTTAAGAATTTTGCTTCAGGATGAGAACAGAAATCGTGCTCCGGCGGCACGGCGGCAGCAGCAGCGGGAGGCTCCATTAGCTAAAGTGGTGCTTCAGGTTAAGAACAGTTTCAGGTTAAGAACGGACCTCTAGAACGAATTAAGTTCTTAACCCGAGGTACCACTGTATTGTTTTATGACTCTCGTTTTTGCACTCTTGTTTCCTGCTGTAAAGGGCTGGCTCTGCCATGCGGCAGAGTGAAACAAAAAAGATCCCCTGTGTTGCAAACAGAACAATCTGACAATCCAAAAGCAACACAGTAGGCCAATAACATAATTGCAATACAGTACTTTTATATCACTACTGTATGTAGTGTACGTGGTGTAGTGGTTAAGAGCGGTAGTCTCGTAATCTGGGGAACCGGGTTCGCTTCCCCGCTCCTCCACATGCAGCTGCTGGGTGACCTTGGGCCAGTCACACTTCTCTGAAGTCTCTCAGCCCCACTCACCTCACAGAGTGTTTGTTGTGGGGGAGGAAGGGAAAGGAGAATGTTAGCCGCTTTGAGACTCCTTAAAGGGAGAGAAAGGCGGGATATCAAATCCAAACTCTTCTTCTTCTACGTTATCTGATTGTAAATTAAGATATAACTCAATAGTGATATAAAAGTATTGTAATTATATTATTAGCCCGCTGTGTTGCTTGTGGATTCTCAGATGAGGCAGAGTGAGGCAGCTGCCTCGGTTGGCAGATGCCGGGAGACAACAGAGAGCGATGGCAAGGGATTAGAGGGCAGAGTGGTCTATATCCCGCAGCCTGCCCTGTTCCCATATCCCCAAGCTCTTCCACTGCCATTTGGAGAGTGCAGGATGCTTCCCCGCTGCCATAACATCATAGAAAGATCGCTCCAATCCTCTGCCCCTCGTCACTTTTATGTTGGCTTCATTTCCGATCAACGCAGACCCACCCCACCCCCCACAACTTCCTGCTGAAATCCCTTAACTTCTCACACCAAAAATGCTCTGGCTTATTTTTGTCCAGCTTTGAGTCCCTTCAGACAGCAATAATGTGGAAGCCTTGGGGGACAAACCAAAGAATAAATTGTGATTGCTCCAGCTAAACATGCTGAACTTACACGAATATTTCTCCTTGCAATTGTGGATTCTAGCCCCAAACAGGTGAGTGATGGAAAAACAGTTTGCACCAACTCAGAACACCGTTTTCATAATTAGTTAACACCTTCCAGGGTTGGCTTCTATCAAAGCCCAGCTTCAGATTTGGAGAACTGACAGTGCAAAGCTGAAAGCAGACCCAGGCTACTCACCACAGAGAGGGACTATGTTGCTTGCAAGCAGTGCTAAGGCCAGGAACACCACCATCAACGACTTCATTGTTGACCTTGATATTCGAAGCGATTGTGCTTTGTGGGTGGATGAGGGGAACCTCCTCTTTATAACCACCCTGGAAAAGGGAACTTGCAGATACAGTATTAGGTGGGTGCGAGGGAATCCACACAACACATCAACAAATATATTTGTGTGCGTCTGAAAATCCCCCATGCTTTTGTCCTTCCTCAAGTCTAAATAAAGAGATGCAAATGGGAAAGAGAAACAAAGAGCCCGTCCTACCCATTGAGCACAAAACAACCCTCTCCTATGGCCCCATTTCTGCCGATCTCCCATTCTCTGGTCAAGCAGCGATTTCCACGTCTCGGCCAATCCCAAGGGTTCCCGTTTGCGCCTGCAAAAGCTTTGGGGTGGGAAAGGTTCCAATTGGCTCGTGTCCCGTAGCTTCCTCCCGAAATCCTGCAACTTTCGCTGCTGCAAATGTTCGTGGCTGGACGTGGATGTGTCCTGCTTTTGTTGTGCTGTAGTTCAAGACTTGTCCCTTCAAATGGAAAAAAAACACAGAAAATTTGGGGAAGCATCGCATCATTATTATTATTATTATTATTATTATTATTATTATTATTATTATTTTATTATTTGTACCCCGCCCATCTGGCTGGGTTTCCCCAGCCACTCTGGGTGGCTTCCACAAAGACAAAAAATACACTAAAATGTCACACATTAAAATCTTCCCTGAACAGGGCTGCCTTCAGATGTCTTCTGAATGTCAGGTAGTTGTTTATCTCTTTGACATCTGGTGGGAGGGCGTTCCACAGGGCAGGTGCCACTACCGAGAAGGCCCTCTGCCTGGTTCCGTGTAGCTTTGCTTCTCGCAATGAGGGAACCGCCAGAAGGCCCTCAGTGCTGGACCTCAGTGTCTGGGCAGAACGGTGGGGGTGGAGACGCTCCTCAGGTATACTGGGCTGAGGCTGTTTAGGGCTTTAAAGATCAACAGCAACATTTTGAATTGTGCTCGGAAACAAGTTAATACAGCGGAATGATGCGGAGACACTCTGATATAAATCCGTCAGCAATGTGCTACTATTGCTTCAGAAAAATGTTGCAGAGGACAAGCTAAAAAAAACACCCCAATTCACCAGTCTGGGGTGCCTTTAATAGATAGTGTGGGAAGGAGGGAAAGTCCGTTAGAGACTGTGGCACAGGCGGAGTGACTCCTGACCCTTTGCCACTGTCTCCAGTCTCAATCAGAGTCACCCATTTCATGCGGAAGCCTTGTGACATGCTTGTGTGAAGCGAACACATCCTGTCGCATGCACAGGTAGCCGCCAGAGGACTTTGGGGGAGTCTCGGTCCCCATGGCCCCGCATAGATGGCGCGCCTAGCCTGTGGGGTGGGGCTCAAAGCCAGTTTCTCCTCTGTGAAAAAAGACATGGAGCCAAGAAATTACACAAAGCAAAAGAATTACCTTGAAAATCCCTGAAACGAGAAGTAATCAACTATAGAATTGAATGAAATAACAAAAATCAAAAAATAAACTAGAATTAAACAAAAACTTTACGGGATGCCAGCTACAAAACTCGTTTCACTGAACTAATCAGTTTCCTCAGAAGGAAATTATAAGATTTGAAGTGATATCAAACAAGCTCAAGAGCAGGGCTGAAAACGCTTCCTCGAGTTTACAAAAAAGGTCTGAAAACCTCAGTGACAAGTTTTAAACATAGGCCTGTTTAGAATCAGGCAGTAGTGATAAGAAATTGAAGTTTTAAGTTTCAAACAAACTCAAAAAACAGGGCAGAAACTCAAAAAGTTTAAACATAGCCCTATAAAGAAATTGAGATTTAACATCAGCAGTCGGGAGCGCTTCACCCCTGTTTTTGAGTGTCTGCCCTGTTTCTGAGTCTCTTTGAAACTTAAAATCTCAAATTTTTTGTGTGGCTTCTTCTCTGTGGCATTGGTATTCCGTGGTACCTTCGGCAGCTGGTTAGGCGTCCAAATTCCTGCATTGCAGGGGGTTGAAATAGATGACCCTTGGGGTCCCTTCCAACTCGGCCATGCTATGATTCAAATGTGCCCTGGGCTTCAAAAGACTGGCGACCCTTGACCTAAGAGCAACTCCTGAGGCCTACAAGTGTCTTCCCACATGGACTGACTTCTTTACAAGTAGGGTAATTCCTGCTTTTGTCTACGGTACTATTTGTTTAGTGTTTTACAGGAATTGGTCGCGATCAGGCACAATAAACCATTCAAGATCTTTCCTCTTTGGTAAGGCTGGCTTTCAACTTGTACAGTGGTACCTTGGGTTAAGAACTTAATTCGTTCTGGAGGTCCGTTCTTAACCTGAAACTGTTCTTAACCTGAGGTATCACTTTCGCTAATGGGGCCTCCCGCTGCCGTTGCGCCACCAGAACACGATTTCTGGTCTCATCCTGAAGCAAAGTTCTTAGCCCGAGTTACTATTTCTGGGTTAGCGGAGTATGTAACCTGAAGCGCCTGTAACCCGAGGTACCACTGTAGTTTAATACAGCAACTCTACTGAGAATATAAGTAATAATAATAATAATAATAATAATAATAATAATAATAATTTATTGTTTATACCCCGCCCATCTGGCTGGGTTTCCCCAGCCACTCGGGATTGCTCACAACAGATTATTAAAAACACAATAAAACATCAAGCATTAAAAACTTTCCTAAACAGGGCTCCCTTCAGATATCTTCTAAAAGTCAGATAGTTGTTTGTTTCCTTGATTTCTGATGGGGAAGTTCCATAGGGCGGGCGCCCCTACTGAGAAGGCTCTCTGCCTGGTTCCCTGTAACCTAATTTCTCGCCGGTGTGGTATAGTGGTTATGCGCGGTAGACTCGTAATCTGGTGAACCGGGTTCGCTTCCCCGCTCCTCCGCATGCAGCTGCTGGGTGACCTTGGGCCAGTCACACTTCTTTGAAGTCTCTCAGCCCCACTCACCTCACAGCGTGTTTGTTGTGGGGGAGGAAGGGAAAGGAGAATGTTAGCCGCTTTGAGACTCCTTAGGGTAGTGATAAAGCGGGATATCAAATCCAAACTCTTCTTCTTCTTCACAGTGAGGGAACCGCCAGAGGGCTCTTGGAGCTGGACCTCAGTGTCTAGGATGAACAATGGGGGTAGAGACATGTTTTGCTTGGTCATGCCTAAATGTCTCAGTGGAGACCCACTGAGGCTGCCCCATGCATCTCAGCTTGTCCGCAGCCACTCTCCTGCCCACACCTGCCTGCCTTTTTACTTACAACCAATCCTGGGGGTGGTGTTGCCCACCAGCTCCCTCCTCCTTAGGTTTGCCCTTCTAGAACTTAGCAGGGAGGATGAGTCAGCTCTGCCAGCTGCTGGCTTGGGGCGCCCTCTGCTGTTGACCTCCCTGCTTTCTGCCCCACCAGCCACCGCTGACGAGTCTTCTTTCTTCTACATCAGGATGTGTGGAAAGGGGTGGGGCCCAGATTCACACCCACAGATATGTCACGACTTGTATAGGTCAGTTGGCCCACGACCTGTCCAACATGGGCCCGATATCTGTTGCTACGTCACCACACTTCAACCGTTGTGACCAGCAAAGCATGTACAATCCCAGCAAAACATCAGGAGTTTTCATGCTTTCCAGCAGTCAGCCTTCTCCAGAATTAAGAACTCTCCTTCCCTACTCAGCAGAAATTAAAGTATGAAAATACCTAGGCTAGAATAAATCACAGGCATGCAGCTCTGCCACACACTCCCTGGCCAGTTGCAAGAGGCGGGTAGGTAGGTGTGGGATCGGATATGGAAAAGTGGAGCTTGGTGGGCCAGTGTCCCCCCTTAACCTCTGCTGCACTAAAGGCCTGATGTCGAATGGTGCAGAATTGCACACATGCTATAATACATTGCAGATACCAGCAGCAGGCTAAAAACTTTTTAAAAGTGCTCACCAAAAGTCTAGATTTTTAAAACCCACATATGTGAAGTTTCCAGAATGCACACAAAGAGGGGGCCTGCTGCTGGATTTCCCCTAAGGGGAAATCCTGTTGGGGGGGGTGCCACCACCGAGAATGTATGGCAGGCATCTCTGAATGTAGCTGCAATCAGGAGGTTAACTGCCCACCAGAGTTGCTCAGAATCACAAACTGTGTCAGGAAGTGATCACAATAGTTTAAGGTTTTTTTGGGTTCTTGGGGGTACCCCCTGCTCTTGGGGTTAATGCGGCAAGGGAATCACCTCAATGTCTGTACCACTTCTGCTTCTGAGTCCCAGTTGAAAAGCCATTCAAATTTTTCACACGTCACATATGGCAACATCCAGCAAACTTCTCTTCTGCTGAAGTTTCCCTTACAGGGTGGGGGGAGGATGGAGATTATCTTTACCTTAATCTTTAACTCAAATCTAACTCCCTACAACAGCAGCAGCAAAAGGTATCCATAAGTTATGGGTAGGCAAACTAAGGCCCGGGGGCAGGATCCGGCCTAATCGACTTCTCAATCCAGCCCGCAGATAGTCCAGGAATCAGTGTGTTTTTACATGAGTAGAATGTGTGCTTTTATTTAAAATGCATCTCTGGGTTATTTGTGAGGCCTGCCTGGTGTTGCAATACATATATAAAATCTTTACATATTGATACATATACATTATATTTGGAAATTCACATTTTCACATTTCATTATGTACCAACATTTATTCATTTCTTATTTCTTGCCCTGTGTCTTCCCTCCACCTGGGCATGTTATTACCGTATTTCGTAACTTTATTCTTGAGATTGTAATTTTGTATCTTAATAATTAAACATTCAATCTTATATATCTGCTTAGCTTAACTGCCTGGTGTTTTTACATGAGTAGAATGTGTGCTTTTATTTAAAATGCATCTCTGGTTTGTTTGTGGGGCATAGAAATTGTTCTCCCCCCCAAAAAAAAATATAGTCCGGCCCCCCACAAGGTCTGAGGGACAGTGGACTGGCCCCCTGCTGAAAAAGTTTTCTGACCCCTACCATAAGTCCTTTCGTTGGTTTATTTGTTACCTGATCTAATGGCTGTAATTGTTTTTTTAACAGCTTTA